TGTGGTGCTAAGGATTAAACCTAAGCCCTCATACGTGGTGACCAGTCTACCACTGTATACCCTCAGGCCCTAAAGTGGGCATAGGAGTAGGAGTAGGTGTAGGAGTGGGCCAGAAGAGAGGAGGAGAGCCTGCTGTCCTGGGCCAGGAAGGCTGAGCAGAGGCACACACTGGGAGAAACCCTTGGCCTGGGGCACTGGATCTGGGCTGCGCTTGGCAGGAAAGCACAGCCTCATGGGTCTAATCAAGAGTCAGGCCTCGGCCCTAAAGGCTTGGGCCACCTCAGCTCCTCCAGGATCTTTGGCACCCAGTGAGAGGAGTCATGCCGCGTGCGGGTCGTGTGTGCGTGTGTGCTCACGTGTGGGGGGTGGCATGGAAGGAGCGTGTTGCTTGTGTGCAGCCTGTAAGTGCCTTCTGCAAGTACAGGAGAATCCGTCCTACATGCCCATTGAGGCAGGGCAGAGGGCAGCAGAGGAGGAGCGCAGTGGGGAGGGTTGGTTTGTTTACTCCTAGCCTGCAGGAAATCAGGGTTTTCTGGCAGAGATTGCAAGGGGGAAGCTGTCACCCACAACAGTGATGGCCACTAAGGGAACAAGTGCCCAGAGGAGAGTGAGTCCTGTCCTTTGGGGTATGTCATAGAGCTGTAAAGATGCCAGTGCCAGCTGGGCATGACAGCAGACACTTGTAACCTCAGCTGCTCGGGAGGCTGAGGCAAGACAGTGGGGAGCTGGAACCCAGCCCCAAACAGCAGGAAGGGACTGATGCTGAGGGAGGTCGCAGCAGGGAAGTGGAGGCCTGGGTGGGGGCCCGGTCTGACTTGAGAGTCTGCCTCATTTAGTGACCTTCCTTGCAGTTGGCATCCACACCTCCTCACTCTGACACTTGCCATAGGCCCATTTCCGCCTGTGAGGAACAGCAGGAGAAAGTGGGGGGTGGCCTTGGGCAGCCCCAGGGGGACAGTGGCCAGGGGAGACTATTCAACAGACAGGGTGACTTCGGATTTCAGTCCAGGGCATTGTCCTGGATCTTCACATCCCATTGCTATCCCCTCTTTGCAGTACCTTGGAGATAGGAAGACACTGGGACCCGCAGCCCCGTGGCAGTGTGTCGGAGAGCCCCTGAGTCTGTGGGTCCTGCATGCACCGTGCTCTGAGGGTGCCTCAGGCATCCCTGTCATTCTGCGTGGCTGCTGCCCAGGAAGTGCATTTTAGCTGGTGCCAGCACTGTAGAGACGGCCTCATGCTCAGGAGGGGAAGGTCCTTAACATTAGGTGTGCATGACAAGTTGCTAGCACTCCTGCAACTCTGTGTGTCAGGAAAGTGGGGTGAGCCGACTAACGGTGTCCCCTTATCTTCCCAAGGTTTGGGGACACATCTTTACAAGAAGTCATCAATGTGGAGAGCTTGGTGCGGTTAAATTCCTACTTCGAGCAGTTTAAGGAAGTTCTGCCTGAAGATTGTAAGTATTCCTCCACTTGCAGGGGTCCACCTGCTTGTCCTCTCATCACTTTGGGTGCTCTGCTTGCCCTGCTGCGTGCATGCACATGTGAGCTCTCCCTTTCCTTCACACACAGACACACATACACACACACACACACACACACACACACACACACACACACACACACACACAGAGTAGCTGTTCTCCTGTTCATACTGCCTGGGTTGAAGCTGAATTTAGAACCGGACTGTGCAGCTCCATGGTGCATGGAGAGGGAATGCTCAGAAAATCTTGCTTGGTGTTAGGGCCTAGAGGGGCCCTGTTGTGTCCCCTGGAGGTCACAGCAGTTGTTCCCTGATGCATGACTCTCTGTGCCCCAGTGGAAGGGCTACAGGCAGGGCTCCGGTGTCCTCAGAGCTCAGGGAGGAGCCCAGGCTGTATGGCACAGTCCTCGCCAGTACAGGCTTCAGCGCAGTGTGCTCACTGAGCACCTGTCCTGCACAAAGTGCAACAGGACCAAGTGTCGGTGAGACCAGGGCCCTCCCTGGAGAGACCTGCTCACCTGCAGGGAGGCTTCAGAGAGGGAGGGGGCATGCCCCTGTGCCCGTGGGCAAGGGGCAGCTGGACAGTGGAGGAAGCTGTCCTGGTAGGAGGAACTGTGACCCAGGGTCTCGAGGCCAGTTTTGTTGGCAATGAGCAGTTGGGGAGAAGAAGGGGTCCGCTGTGTCTTTCCAGGGTCACCCAGCAGGGTTTGCAGGTTGGACTGGAGAAGGGAACACAGGCTGCAGGTAGCCAGGGCGGGCTGCGAGACCTCAGCTGAGAGGTCCCTCCCTTGCTTGGATTCTCAGCTGGTGCTGGTCTGGCCGAGTGAGCAGGAGAACCACTGCTGTGGCAGCTGCTGGAGCCGAGGCTGGAGAGTGCAGGGTGGACATCACCATCTCCCAGCCTGGGGGGCCTCACAGAGGGGCACATGTGTTCCTCTAGGGGTATCTGGGGTCCCCCAGAGAAGGCTGTGCTTTCCAGATGCCCTGAGGTGTCAGTCAAGGCCACCTGGTTGAGACATGTTGTGTTCCTTGTCCTGCCGCGTCCCACCTCCTCCCTTGGCATGGATACTTACAAGAAGCTTCTTAGTGGTTCTGTGCCCACTGTACATCTCCTGAGAAGAGCGGAAAGGGGATGGAGCGAGAGCCCTTTGGACGCAGCATTGATGTGGCAGTGATTGAAGGGCCCACCGTCCTAGTGGCCTGGCCAGTGCTAACCTCCTTGTCTCCCTCACATCACCATTCCCTTCTCAGCGTGCTCGCGCACCTCCCCTGCCAGGGTGCCATCCTGGTCACGGCTTCCGCTCCTGCTCACACCTCTGCCCTTCCAGGTCTGCCTCGGTCCCGGAGTCAGACCTGCCTCCCGGAGCTGCTGAGGTTTCTGGGTCAGAACGTGCACGCCCGGAAGAATAAGAATGTGGACATCCTCTGGCAAGCTGCTGAGGTGCGGATTCTAGGGAGGAAGAGAGGCTAGTAGCCCACCTGCATCCCCAGCCAGCCTAACAATGAGGAATCAAAATCTCAGCCAGGCACAGAGTGTTTCTCTCTAAGGGCACCTGAGAAGTCACTAGGTCGGATCAGACACTCGGAGGAAGGCTGCATGCTGCCTGTGAGCTCGGTCGTAGGGCTGCCTAAATGTTGGCAAATTGGACAGTGACTCAGGGCACTGCTGGCCGGGCTGCCAGTGGCTGTCACCTTCAGGGGGTGCACAGTCAATGGCAGGTAAAGTGCACTGCCAGCTACAACCGTAAAGAAGCCCAAAGGGAGACCATGATGCTCTGCAAGCCGGTTCAAATGATCTTCATCCTCCTGCCCCTCTTATTTCTTTGCTTCCCTGAGTACTTACACTGCACACGGAGTGTGGTTATCTGAGAAGAGTCCTTGCTTACCCTGATGTAGGAGGCAAAGCTTTCTCACTGTCCTGAGGGTGGCTCAGCCAGAGCCCTGAGCAGTGGCCCCTTAGTCCTGTGACTCTTGTCCCCAGCAGAGCCCTAAGGCAGAGGAACATAGCTCAGAGGGGTGAGGCTCAGAGCCCCTTGGATGGGCACCCTGTCCACAAATCCTGGGCATCACCTGGGTGACAGTGGGTGTGGCAGTGCCCGGCCACCTGGGCACTGTGTCCCAGAGCCTCTCCTCCTCTGGATCTTCCAGCTAGGCCTTGAGGGAGTGTCCCTTAGCTGAGGGCAGGGCTGATGCCAGCCCCCTGGGCCACAGGGACCCCAGGGGCTGGGTCTTATAGGTGACTCAGTTTCTATTGCAGCTCAGTGGGTTTCAGAGTGGGGAGAGAGGCACAGCCAGGCTGGGGCTGGGTGTGGAGCTCCTGCCGTGTCCCTCCAGGCCTGTGGGGAGCTGCTCCCCCTGCAAACCCCCTTCTAAGCACAGCACATTTCCCTCTGGCAGATATGCCGCCGCCTTAATGGGGTCCGGTTTACAAGCTGCAAGAGTGCCAAGGACCGCACGGCCATGTCGGTGACACTGGAGCAGTGCCTGATCCTGCAGCACGAGCATGGCATGGCCCCACAGGTCTTCACCCAGGCCCTGGAGTGCATGCGCAGGTGAGTGCCCCTCCACCCACCCGCCTGTGCTGTGCACCTGCCTGTGTAAACTGCAGATGAGCTGGTGCAGGCGAGCCAGGCATGCGAGACCTCTATAGTCAAATTACTGGCCCTGTCCAATTCAGGGAGCACCCAAGAGGGCAAGGGAGAGCCAGCAGCCTTTCCAAGCAGGGCTGTGTGGAAATGTAGAGCACTAGGTGGGCCAGGGGACAGGCAGTAAATGGGGCGCTACCCAGTGCCCCGGGCTGCCCGCCTGGCTGGGGCGGGGCCGAGGGCCCGAGCTCTTCCAGCAGCTCCAGCCGCTTCCACAGTGGATGCACACACCACACGTGTGCATTTCCAAGCTTGAGTGAAGAAACGCGTCTGCAGGTTGCACTGGTTTGCTCCGCTTCCTCTCCAGCAGTGGGCACCATTTGCTTTTATGAGCAAAATGTCCAGTGAGTGTCTCATGGTGATAGCTGTCCGTGTGCCCTAGCCACCTCCCCCATGATGTCCTAATCCTGAGGCAGCAGGCGTGTTTGCAGAATGAAACCCAGAACTCAAACTGTCCACTGGTGATCGATGGCTTGTTTCAAGCACTGCTGGGCAGCCCCTCCCTCACATACCAAAAGAAAGGATAAGAAACCCGGTTTTCCTGTCTCCTTTGATGTAGTCACCAATGCTGTTAAAGTCTTGTTTCCAGTGGTCACTTCTACTGAATGTCTATCATTTGTCCTCTCACCAAATTTTTTAAAGTGTTCAATTCTCTTATCCTTTCTGTATGTTTCTGCCCTTTGACCTTCTCACAATAATGCACGAAGGTGATGCGTGAGCTTCTGCCTCTTGCTATGTGTTTTGTACAAATGACAATCACCTTGTCCCAGCTTTGTCCCCCCAACTTCATCCAAACCTCTGTTCAGTTCCTCCTGCTCCCCCATCCTTTAGCCAAGCAGTAGAGATGCAAACACCCTGCTCTAGGCCACCAACTCAGGGCTGCTCCCAGGGGCCCCGCACCTGCAGGCGCCTTTGTCCTTAGTGGCAGTCGGCCTGCATCCAGCCAGCTGCGCAGGGGTGAGAGGGGCCTTGTTGTGGCTGGGGAAGCAGAGATCAGACCTGCGTAAGGTCTGGTCAGCAGTAAAGGACCCAGGTGAGGCTGCCTGCTCTGCCAGGTTTTGAGCTTGCAAGCATTCAGCAAAAACAGTAACTCCCTGTGACCACCTCTGAGCACTGGGCTACCCGAGGCGAGGGTGAAGTGGCTCCTCTAGAGACCCAGCGCAACTGACCATAGGACCACCCATCTGCCTGCTCCCTGGGATTTGTGTGGAGGACAGCTTTTTTGTTGTTTTGGGGAAGGGTTTGTTTGTTTTGCCTTGAGGCATCTTATGTTGTGCTGGGTATGGAACCGAGAGCCACAAGTTTGGTAGGCTCACACTGCCCGAGCTGTGTTCCCAACCCGGAGGGGCTATTACAAATATTAGGACGCACGAAGCATTCTTTGTAACTTTTAATCACAGAAGTGATTGATATTCCTAGTGGGGAAACTAGGAAATAGAAATGAGCCCCTGTACATGTTGTCCTTGCTCTCTGTGTCCTTTAGCACACACACACACACACCGCTCTGCAGGTGACTCTGTTCCTGCAGTTGGAGCCATGTCAGTGCTTTGCACCTGTCCTTTCAAGGCACATATGTACTGCACTGACATACATACATGCGGGGATGCGTGTGCGTAGCCACACACCAGCGAGCTAGTGCCTCGCCCGTGTAGTGCATTCACACACAGATGCACTCGTAGTGCCATTCCGCCATTGTTTTAGCCTACTTTTTGCATTTAGCCATTATGAGTGTTTTAGGCTAATGGGTATAGGCTTTTTTTTTTTTTTTGTGGCCAGCTCTGGGGGCAGGGCTGGCACAGCATGTGGTGCCAGGGATCAAACTACCGTCCCATGCTGCCTAAACTTGCCTAAGCAGGCACTTTAGACCACTGAGCTATTTTGTCAGCTCTAGGCTTTTTTTTTTTTTCCCCTTCATCTTTTTGAGATAAGGTCATATTATGTAGTACAGGCCAGCCTTGAACTCTCAGTGATCCTCCTGCCTCAGCCTCCTAGTGCTGGGATTACAGGTGTGCACCACCATGCCTGGCTTAGCCTTGTTTATAAGACATCATAATATTTCTAACTTATTTTTTATCGAGTATTTAAGTGGCATATGATTTTTGAGCATTTTAACCAATGGTGAGTGAATATCCTTAGATATTTTCCTACCAACGTTTTCTGTATTGTTTTCTTAGGTTATAAATCATACGCCTTTGTCAAGCTTTATAGCAGTTTTAATGTGAATTAGCAAGCCACCCTCTAGGCCATGGTCCTGCCCCCCACCAGTCTGGCACTTCCAAGCTTGCTGGAGATGACAAGTCCTTACTACAGGCCCCAGGCCGCACCTGCTGTCCACCAAGGCCCCAGAGTACAAAGGCATGGTGCCTTTCCTTTTTCATTTCATCTCACCAGGTGGGAAAGGCAGGTGGCGCAGGGTGGGGCAAAGCTGATACCCCAACTCCTGAAAGCTCAGGGGAGCAGTGGCTGGCAGTGTGCAGCAGTCAGCTCACTCCAAAGATGCCCTGATCTGTAGCAGTAGGCAACTTCAAGGGCTTAACTAGCTCTGCCGGGCCCATCCCAGCCCCAGGTGGCACCACCAGACATGTCTCTGGAAAGAGCCGCCTGCACCCACTGCAGCACACAGGGTGTCACCTTGAAGTGTCCCTTCTTAGGACAGCACAGACCAGCAGGGTCTCCCGGGTTCCCTGGACCTCCTCCTGCCTATCGCCAGTGGGCCTGTATAGCTACCAGGACTGACCCAGAATGGGGTGTTCCACAACCTCTGACCTCAGGTCACTTTTGCTACTTGGGAACATGGATGAGGTTAGAGTAGGGTAGTTCTAGGGACCACCTCAGTGCCTGGCTTCCTCTCTCCCTCCCTTCCTCCTTCCCTCCTTTCATTTTTTTTTTTTTTTTTTTTTCTGGCAGTAGGGCTTTCATACTAAGCTGTACTCCCAGCCCTTTAAAAACATTTTTTGTATTTAGTACAAGGTCTACAGGGTCTCACTGCATAGATAGGACTCAGTGATTCTCCTGTTTACAGCCTCCCAAGAACTGTGATTATAGGCGTGCACTATCATGCCAAGTGTCCCATCAGGTCTCAGTGCACCCTGGCGGTCCCTGTGTCTGCCTAAGCAGGCGCTTTAATCCGCTGGGCTATTTGGCCAGCCCTCTGACAGGTTTTTTTGCACAGATACAGTGGCTTAACTAGCGTTAAATTCAATATTCATACCTTTTTGCAACTATTATTGCCATGTATCTCCAGAATGATTTTCATTTTCCTAAATGGAAATCGTATACCCATTAAGTAGCAGTCCCCTGCACCCATATTCCTGTATTTCTGCCCCCAAAGTCATCATTCTCCTTTCTTGATGAAGTTTGTCAATTTTTCATGTGTCGTATCAGTACATTTGTGCAGTATTAATCCTGCTGTGATGGACTTATTTCACCTAGCATTATACTCAAAAGTTCAAGTGTGTAGATATGTCAAGAATTTTCTTCCTTTTATGGCTGATCAGTATTCCATTATGTGACTATCCCATCTTGTTTATCCATTCGCACTTCAGGTTAACACCACCTTTTGATTGTTGTGAATAATTCTGCTCTGCAAACATGTATACAGGCCCTTGATTTTTTTCAGTTATTCTTGGTATGTATCTGGCAGAACCGTTATTAGATTTTATAGTACAATTGTTTTGGGTTTTGGAGGAACTGCTGTACTGGGTTTCAGTGACTCTGCCATTTTATTTTCCTCATTGTGCAGGAGTCCAAGTTTTCCCATTTCTTGGCTAACAATTGTTTTCTTTCTTTCAATAACCTTTCTGATTGGGATATTGTTTGGATTTCTGTTTCTTTAGTGATTAGTTCTGTGTCAGGACTGTACTGTTTTGATTATTGTAGTTCTAAAATCAGGAACTCATGTTTGTTCCTGCATACCTCTGATCCCAGCTGCTCTGGAGACTAGAGCAGGAGGATTGCAAATTCCGGGACAGCTTGAACAATTTAGTAAGATCTATTTAAATAAAAAAAATAAAGTACTAATAGTGTAGGTCAGTATTCCTTAGATTCAATTCCTAGGACTACAAAAGAATTTTTAAAAATTTTTTCCCTTCAGATTCTGTAAGGATTTTTTTTTGCGCAACTCATGCTGTTATTTTGAAGGGTATCATGGAGTCTTCATTTGGGTAGTTTTGACATCTTAAATAATATTAAGTGTACCAAGTTTGAGCATGGAGAGTGTTTCTTTTTTTATTTTTAATGTATTTTAGTACAGCGTCTCACTACACACATTGGACTCATAGTGATTCTCTTATTTTCAGCCTCCCAAGTGCTAGGATTGCAGGTGCGTGCTACCATGCCCAGTCTCAGTC